CCCGCGGAAATGGAGTTAGGTTTCATGTGTCAGAATTCTAATATATTTGAAGCGCACGCTTGTTATTGATTTTTTTTTCATTTTCCCCCCTACTGTTACTTATTTCTAATTTGCAATGTGATATCATTTATAGTTTATAGGGTTCCTCACTTTGTAAATGCTAATTTACAGTTGAACGTGAAGAATCTTAAGACCTGCTAAGCGAATAATCGCTTAAGTTCGTGTGACAAGAAACAACAAGATGGAAGGGTAACTAACCCTTTAACAAACCTTTAACTTAAAATAAGATTTAACGGAACTCCGTCTTGAAGTGTACAATAACAGCTGACACTTGTGCTTGAATGTAAGAGGCTGAGAAGTAAACTAAATCTAATCTAAACTAAAGAGCCTCTTACATTCATTGGCCCCTTAAAGCTAATTGACTGCGAAGCTATGAAGGGCCTGAGTACGGCCGAACGTAATAACAGCTTTGTGAGAGATAAGCCAAAAGGGCAGACGCGCGCTAGTAAGAAACTCTGATTCTCTCTAACTCAGCAAGTAGAACTTCGCGATTAAATACCGCTCTTCCTCAATATATATTCAGACGTGATCCTAAAACTACGTTCTGGCCGGACTATGAAGTTAAGAATCGAAAGGAAAGGGGGTTTAACTTTTAATAAAATTAACATAATTCTTACAAGTTAAAGAAAAAAGAGAATGAATTTGAAACCGTAAATTAAAGAGGGCTAAAAAGCTCGTGAAAGCGTAAAATTACTAAATGACTTACAAAACGCAAGCTCTGTGAAAATACAGCATGATTATATGAGTTTGTTGGCAGTAAATCAAGGTATTCATTCAAATAAGAAACACGAGTATAATGAATCAGATAGAATTGCGTCAATTAGTTTCATTATTCATTCAAATTTAGCTTATGAAGTTCTGTCTTGTTATATATAATTGTGTTGTTAATTTACAGTGGCTCACAAAATTGTTCTTACGCTTATGAGTTTCAGTGAGATAGTGCTTTATTCATTAATAAGAATTGATATTTTAGAATGAAAATTTTTTAATAATAGGTAGAAATTTCTTTTAAACTTCATTAATTATTTTATAAACATATTAAAATGTTTTTTTTAGAAAATAAATAATAAAATGTAACAGAAAAGTCTTTGTACGCTTTAAAAAATCTGCATATATTAGTAAATATTGCAGTATATCTGTTAGTATTTTGTAGTATATCCTGTAGTATTTATGATATCTTTTAAATGTCTGGGCATAGAATTAACGACTGCTTTCGTAATATTTGCATGAATGTTCCTCCATTCTTCCATCATTGCTGTTTTTAGTTCTGTTTTATGTTTTAAATTTGTAGCTTCGTACTCTAACCTCTAATTCTTTCTAAATGTGTTCTATTGGGTTTAACTATGGTTACTGAGGTGGTGGTTTCAAACCTTGTGGACAATTATAGACACCCAAAAGGCGAAGGTTGAGAATCATGTGCTAAGGATTGTTACCTTGATAAAAAATAAAGTGTTTCCAGTACCCAAATTTTAGGCGGATAATTTTAAATTATCTTTTAAAATATTAAAAAAAAAGAACATGGTTCATTGTGCCATCAATAAATACTAAATTATTTAATCCTGATGCTGACATGCACCTTCAGACTAGAACTCCTCCACCGCCAAGCTTTACTGTTCCAATCAAGGTCTTAGGATTAAGCTCCTCAGTTTTTTTCCTCCATACAATTTTACACCCATCGGAACCAAACATGTTAAATTTGTTTTCATCTGTAAATAAGACATGACACCAATTCGCTTCGGGCTTAATTACAGTTGATTTTGAGAAGAAAAGCCTAAGCTTTCTATTTTTGCACTTTCCAAAAAATTTTAATTGAGCAGAGCGTCCATGTAATCCAACTGATCTGAGCACTCGTTGAACAGCTTTAAGTGAACAACCTCTTCTTGCTTTATTTTGGGTCCGATCGTTTTTCTTTAGAACATTTTATCATATACTGCACCGTTGAATGGGATAATATTATTAATTTAACAATATACCGAATCCAATTTCCATCCTTATAAAAATTGATCGATTTTTGAATGCTGTTCGTTGCTTGCTTACGAGTACGGGCATTTTTAAATATTATCTAAAATATAACAGAGTAAGCAAGCAAAAAAATAAAGCCAAACGAGTTTTTATACGTCAGTAAAATACAAAATAAAAAAAGGTAGAGGTTAATTTTATTTATGAAATTTTACGAAAATGTTTCGGTGTACGATCACTTTTGTGGGGTGTTTTATCTATATCTCCTTACATTTTTAATTTTAGAAAAAGGAAATAAGTCAATATTAAAAATTAAAAAGTTTGGTTTCATTCAAAATCACATGTAGATGACATGAAAAAAAGATTGGACTTTATATTCAAATTCAGTTCTGGGTTACAGTGGTTTTTCTGGGAATTATTAAAGTGTTGGAACACTTCTGTGAGACACTGTAAATGAGATGATAAGGTTATTTACGATGTAACAAGAACTAAATTTAATTATACACAACTGTTAACAGATTCGGTGTATGATTTTTGTGCAACTGATGCAATCAGTTCTACGAACCAAAGCGTAATATTCTGCAAATACCTTTCAAATATATAGGGAGCGGCAGCGTTCATAGTAGGATATTAAAAACACACCATAAAGCAGTAACTGTAATTTATTTATTACCTATTATGTCAATTAATAGTTAAAGGTATGCCATTTACTAATGTGTAAGTCATTGTCCATTGCGTTGATTAAGTTTTGAATATGATGTTTGTCAAATGATGTCCTTTTTGCACAACACATTCATCTAGGCGGCGTTGGAAGCTTGCCATAACTCGGCGCAACGTATTTAGTGGAACATTGCCGATGAGATCCTTCAACTCAGGAATGGGGTTTACAACGTGTTCGGACAACTTTTTGCTTCACGTGTCCCCAAAGAAATAAGTCTGCACATGAAAGATCAGGTGAACGAGGCGGCCAAGAAATGTCACCAAAACGGGAAATTACTCTACCTGGAAATGTCTGTCGTAATGGTCCGTTCATCTGGAACATTTTATCATGACGTCTCAAGTTGAAATGTGTCCGAAATAGACGCTGGGTAGCAATAACAGAGAACACCTTGAAATAGCTTTCAACAGCAAAAGCACGATGCTGTGCACTCCATCGATCCATATCACTGTCAGACTCGAAATAGCAGCTCATTAGTACACGAATGCGGCACGAGCTGGCTCGCATTCCTGCAGTACATCATTGTGCTACGCAAGTCAAATTACTCTATGAACGCTGCCGCACCCTGTATAATCAATTATATATATATATATGAATCATTAAGTTTATTAATTAATCATTTATTTTAAGATACACTATTACTCTTATATTCACTGAAAAAGACGAGAGTATAATATACATTAATGGAGTATTTTTCCATTCTACCAAATCCCAAAATAGATCTTAATACTTTAGCCCCTATAAACAGACATGGATTATAAGTGTATAATAGATCGTTAGAAAATACTTTGTGTATACGATGATAAGCGTTTATATGAAATAATGGATTTGGGAAATTAAGACTGATATATAATATTATATATAATAATACATATTACATAATATAAATATATATATAAATACATATATATATATATATGTATTTATATATATTTAACTATATTGTTTCAAAAGAATATAGTAAAGTTAAATTAAATTTAATTAAATTTGCTTTTTACGAATAGAGAATGTTTTGCTAAATTCAAATTTATATATATTTAACTATACTTTTTTAATAAATAGTTATTTTCTTTTTAACAATCATTCTTTTTAAGTCGCTTTCTTTTTAACAGTCATTTTTTAAAATTTTTATAAAATTGTTTATTAATGAAATGTTACTATTTTGAGTTCAATACAAATGAAACTTTCATTTTTACTATTAAAAACTGACTCGTTTTGATCATTATATAGCCATTAAGTACCTAAAGCTCATTTGAATAAAAATCACAAAACTGATTCTACCTTTTTCGTTCCCATTCAATCTCTATAAAACATATGTCGAATTAGATATAAGTACAAATAATCCAAAGAAAGAAGAGACCACATGAAGAGGAACACTATAATGTATTTAAACATGGCATCAACAAGAAGTTACAAAGTCAAACTCAACATTTTCCGCGTCCTATACATTTCGTCGTTCGATTCATCCTTAGCCTTTTCGTATGTCTAAAATAAACCAAAATTCCTGCGATATGGAAGATGAGGTATAGCTAGCTTTTTACACATGATAATTCAGCGATACGTTTTCTTAATGCTCAGTTTTTAACAGTTACCTTTTCCTAGACATGAGTACCGAGAAAAGTGTCGAATATTTATTTCTTAAAAGAACAAATGAACTGCTGTAGAACATTATATCTCTAAGAACAACCAAGTAAAAAGAAGCCGGAAATCATCTTGCAGCTTGGCTATTTGGTTTAGGCAGGTTTCAATGCATTTAAACTTCGAAATTAAAGATTAAAACTTTTTTTTTTCGTTTTGATCACTTTAACTTATTTTGTTTGAAGTGCAGCGATACTTCTTATGATTACTGATGTATATTTTAACATAGCTCTCCGAACAAATATGATATTTCTCTGTCTCAAACGTACATGGTGGTATATACAATTTATTACATGTCGCATTTTTATATGTATTCCATATTAGGTTGTAGAGTCGTTACGTTTTTTTTGAAGCAGGGGACATGAAAAATGTGCAATGCCTTTTCCGGGATATGAATTGGGCCTCTCGAACACTCGACGAATGCGTTACCGTTAAGCCATGAAGACATGCTAGAAGCAGAGAGAATATACATTAGATACTCCCCTTTTAAAGGACGACTGGTGATTAGGGTACCCAATCAAGCTAATAAAGCTAAAAGCTAAAAGCTGGTGCTAACGAAGTATTCTCCACCAGCTTTTAGTAGATTCATTAGGTTTATGATGTTGGAGACAGTAAAAATGTTTAATGTCCTCACCAGGATTCGAACTTGGACCTCTCGAATACAAGCCGAGTGTGCTACCGTTACACCACGAAGACATGCGGAAAGGAGGGAGAAGAAATCTTATAACTGTAACTGTTATATATTGCGTGAATATCGAGCATTTATTTTTGTTGCTAATTATTGCAGTGACAAATATTATTCTATATCAGATTTAAATTTTTGTTTTATTCTTCTCTTCCTTTTTTCTGATTAATTTTTGTCTTACATCTTAATCACTTAAATAAACTAATATGTTATTCAATTTCAGACGTATACCTCCCCTTTCAATTTTATTACTTCAAAACAAAGTTTAGTTAGGAAGCTACATTATATTTTTTGCATTCTTTTTCTTTTCTTCTTGCTTCAAAATCGATTGATAACTATGACATATCCGGCTATGACTACGACATATCTCTGATCATATTTCTAATGTTCTTAAAGATTCCTTACCTCTGTCATTTATTTTTAAAATAAGTCTTCAGGCTAGAGTTGAGTATCTTTCTGCAAGACTTACTTTCATTTAAGTTCACTTGAGAAATTTTGGTAAAATTATTGTATTAAAGAAGATATTTATTTTAATAATAACAAACGTCAATGTGAGGGCAATTTGAGAAATGCTTTATATTTCAAGCAGCCTGAAAAATTCTTTTCTCTTCTCATGTAGAAAAATGAAATGGATCCATTCTAATAATATTTCTCAGTAGAACAGCTGCAAATATCCTCCAGGCTTGCACAAACTTTTTTCTCATAACGAAAGTTTTATCGTGCCCTTTGTCCCACAATGGCATTGGCTGACGAAGCATTGTCTAGTTATCAAAAGTGCCAAAGGGAAAAAGGGGATCAGCAATTCTATTTCTTGATATGTTTTGTATGAAAAGAACCGATTTTTTTCCATAGACTACAATAAGCTCTACGTATGAATTGAAAACTGCATTATCATACGAATACCACGGCATTTGCTGCTGCAGTAATAATCTTGATTTTTGAATTTTTTTGCAGTAGATTTAGTACCAAAATGGTATATACTCTACAAAATGCTAACTATGTATTTAGTACTGGGAAATATTACTATCTCTGAATTCAGTTAAAAATATAGAGTCATAGTAAAATATATTTGAGTTAATTTCCTTTCAGGTTTTAAGTAATATATTTTTATTTTAATCATCACAAAAAGGAACTGATTGCTAAAGCAAGTTTGAGACCAAAAAATAATGTATTATTTCTTATTAAAATAATAATTATTTTTTTTATTTTGAATAAAATGTTTGAGGTCTGTGATATTTTTAAATGTTTTCGTATTTAAAAATGTTTTTGTTACGTGTGTTTTTGTTACGTATAAAAACAAAAAAAATTGAAAAAAATAATAAAAAAAATTATAACTATTTCATATTTATGACATTTTAGAGAATGAATTCATAAATGTGTAAGCTGCATTACATAGGAGTTGGGAATATCGCAGCAACTCTTTAAAACGCGTACATTACTTTCATTCCTAACATTAATACATACGTATGAGATAAATGTAATTGTTATATGGGACATAGGATATGACTGTCATTACGTAAAACATATAATTTTCTTTTCATTCCTAATATTGTTCAATTGCGTAAGCTAGATACAAATTTCAAATAGGAGATGGGATATAACTGCATTTCCACTCCCAAATACGAGTACATGCATTTTTTCATTGCTGATATTAGTAGTTTTCATATAATTAAATGATAATGGAATAGAAATAGAAAATATGTAAATGAAACAATAAAAAATAGTTTAAATGTTTCAGTGACAATCAAAGTGTTCAAAACATTTTATTACTAGATTTTAATAAGCAATGCGAAAAATAAAATCTGTTTAAATGTATTCAAATATTTCATTTTTCTTCTTTATATACCTGTTGTTTCCAGTTTACAGCACTAAATCTTTTCTTTGAATAAATAAATCTTTAACAAATTTAAAACTTAAAATGATTTTCAAGAACATTTTTATTTTTAAAATCTCCATTTGCTTCTACATGTCTTTTTTTAAAGTAAAATGGTATAAACATAAATATATATTGACTTAAAAAAAAGAAAAGAAATAAATAAGGAAGAGGAGTGCAGCCTGCATTTTTTATATAATTTCATCTTCACAATTCAATTTAATTTTAAATACAGATGGCATGATGAGTTCCATAATCATTTATACTTGTCCCGGCTGAGCTTATGCCTGTAATTCTCAGCTTGCTAGACTGGAAACTCACCAAAATATTGCATTAAAACAAATTACTAAAAGCCCATGGTTCATTCGATATCTCCATTCGCGAAAAACTTGGCATAGAATATATTGCTATTTTCATCGCCAATTCGCAAGAACATTCTTTCGTAAAATTAATAAGGTGAACAGTAGTTCAATTTTTAGCACAAGCTACGCATTCATAGACAATATCAATAAAAACGCTGGTGCTGTGATATTACATTTAAATTAAAATGATTTTTCTGGTATTATTAATTCTTCTTTACTGTTATTATTTTTTTGCTTCCTCCAATCCGTTTTCGATATTTTTATCTAAATTTTGGGTGGCTCTGATTAAATGTCCTACCCCACATTATTTGAATCGCTCACAAATTTACTTAAGTTTCCAACTAATCCTGTTACTTCGAAAGAGCATCGTGATCAAATGACTGCAACTACGGTGTCACCATTCCGCTTCATGCATTTTAAACTCCTTCACTAGTTTAGCGCTTTACTTATCTCCCTTTCACTACAGACACCAACGTGACAGCACTCACTCTTACTGCTCCGATCGACAGGAAATGGAAACAGCCCAGGGAGATGAATGAAAAGCATTATTTACCCGATTTTCGTTTTTCCCATCTCCATTGACTACTTCGGCAAATTACCATCGTTCTACGTCACTGAGTATGAAAGGATATAAACCTGAAATACTTTGTCTCATTCATTCTACAGAGCAGGAAGCGGCTAAATATTCGACCTTGATTTTGCTCCGCATGTGTCTTTAAAATTTTACGCTAACATTTTACGGCATTAGGCTGCGGCGTCCCCAACTTCACCATCACTGCAGTGTTCGTCATTTAGAAAAACTGATATTGTTCGTCATTTAGAAAAATTATTGTACGTTGTAAAAAATGGGTTAATTATTTTACATTGTTCTACACAGGAGCAGGCTGTGTAGAACCTGAATCTAATGACACTTTCACCTTAATAATTGAGATAAGGATACACATAATAGTATTTGAAATTTTGTATGTGATATATGTTACATGGTGTTAGAAATATAATTTATTACACTTATAGTATAAATAATATATTGTTGCATGCGTACGGGTTCGTAATAGATTGAATGCACAAGTCCAATAAAAAGTTAATAAAATTTATTCTTATCACGAGAAATATAACAAAACGCTGGATTTTTTTCCTCAAAGATATTCGTAAAATATCACAATATCACGCAATATAATCAGTAGCTATATTTTAAACTACTAAAACATTAAATAGAACGCAATCCAAAGCGAAGAGTAACTAACCCGATCTCACCGTGAATTTGCTACAATTAACAAACAACAGTTATTTAAAAGACTGAACTGATGCCAATGATAATGATTATAAATTACGGAATGCCTATGGTTCAAAATCATACATAACTGTACTGAGATGTTATCCACGGCTTTTATAGCTTTTTAAATAGGGTACGCGAGATAGTTCTAGCAATTTCTGCAAGCAAAAAGAGAAGAATGACGGTTACAGTTAATATAGTAGTCAATTACATTTATTCAGTTTAAATATAAATTACGAGATATCTATTTTTCAAATGCGAGTGCTCCTGTATTTTTACTTTTTCGGCGTGGCTTTCTCTTAAAACTCGTCATGCGCTGCATTGCACGGGGAAGTAAAACAATTTTAATAACAATTCTTTTAAAAATAGCTAACTAAATACAAAATCTATAATAATATCTTGCAAACGGTGGTTAAGAAATATAGATAAGACTTGCATTCCGTATATTGGACTGCGAGAAGAAACGAGACAGTTGCTAAAACGAATATACTTAGGAATCGTTTTTCTGTGTCTAAGTAGCTCCGTTTTAGTCGAGTTCCATCAATAAAATGCATGCGTGAGAAGTTCCCAGATTCGAATAGCGATGCATACTGCTCGAAGCGCTAGACAAATGAAGATTCTTTTAGTGATAGATTAGCGACAGTAATTCTCCCTGTAACACCTCAGCGTGCCTTTTGGGATTTATATTCCGTTACAAAATCTTTTTATTTTGTTTCTGTATCTGCCTTATATAATAGCAAACTTATATATACTAGAAAATTTGAACGATACTTTCTTATACACTATCTTGGTAGTTTGTTGCTCTTGTCAGTTAAGTGTAAAGATATGTGAAAAGGCTTAGACATGTTTTACCTCTGACAAATAAAAACGATAACTGCTAAGCACTCTTTATATCAGTACTAATCACTAAATACCCAAAATAATATGAAAGGAACTGTTGGGATGCAAAAACGTAATTAAATTACAAGAAAATAACAGGTTCAGGTTCAGGTTCAGGTGGAAATGTAGTGGGACACCCAATGTTTACTATAAGTAATGTAGGTATAGTACACTTCGGTTTATTTTTAAAGTAATATTCCAAATAGTACATAGTATAATATAACATAATATAACAGTATAAATAGTATGTCGATATTTTGATTGATATATCTATTAGATATAATTATAGTAGTTATAATAGCTATAATAATAGTAGGCTAACAGTCATAATTTATAACAGTTCTTAATAGTTCCTTGAGATAAAGTTTATTATATGAATTTGTATCTTCTTCCTCTTCTTTTTCCCTTTTTTACTATATCATTATTATTGCTAGGGTTTGTTTTTAAGATAATTAGATAATAAAAGTTTTAGATGAATTGCAGCTTCAAAAATGAATTTTGACATTAATTACGTTAGTGCTCACATAAAGTTTTGCCTATTGAAGATAGATATTTGATTGTATTTTCTATTTTATTTTTTAAATATTTGTTGGTAATTGCAAAACGAAGGAAGGCATTGATATT